CACAGCAATATGGGTGTCTTTTCTAGCTAAAATCGGCGTTCCGGACGCGTCGGCGCAGTCCGTTTCGTCATCCGGGGTCGTCCGGACGAGTTTGCCGGCGGGCGAGTCAATTTAAGCCAAAATTGTGCGTGATGCAACAAGTGCGTTGCCGAGCCACCGAGGGTTAACCTAAGGTCGTTTGATCCTATAGGAACTCATTTTTAGACCCTCTGCATGTTGGTCCTTAGCCCTTGCAACTAGAAGTTGAGTGCTTGGGACCATTCGTGCGAGTTTTCACAAAAAAAGAGTAAAGAAGCAGTTTGAAGTTCTATGGGAGGTGGGCTCCATTACTAGTCCGCTAGGATGGTCAACCAGGAACTCCTAAGGCTAGATCCTAGGTTCTAAGATTAGGAGGCTAAGACCTCACTGAAAATGAGGTCAACACCTACATTTGAACTGATTCACTATTGTGGCCCTTGTCATTGCTGATGGCATCTTTTTTGTCCTTCCCTTCAAAACCTACCAATTTTACATTTTGGTGTAGCTGTATCTTAAAAAACTCGTTCCAAACTTAGAAAAAATATTATTCATATCAGGTATTACTATTTTCTATTTGTTTGAGATGATAGCGTACTAATGCTAATTCTCAAATGTTTAGATTCCGACTAAGCAAATCTAAAAATCTCTTCCGAGTCTTCCTTATTTCTGCTTCAACCTTTTTTTGTTCAATCATCAAATGTCTAGGCCCTTAACAAGAAAATCTAAAAATCACCTTATAAGTTTTCTCTGTTTTTCCTTCGACCAGGGCCCATTCAATCGGAATGATATTGTTGTTTCTATAATGTGTAATCACAAATAATAGCTTGGATTCTTAAGGGCTTTTATAAAGCATATATCTATGTTTATTATTAGCCCACATTTTGCCTCGAAGGCTTTTGTGTATATTGAAAAACAAGTATATATAATAACAAATGCTTACTCACCTTTGAAGTTTGTGTCTTGTACTAATCTAAATAGAATTAGTAAGCCCTAATTTGTTTTGATTTGAATAGAATTAGTAAACCCTAATTTGTTTTGATTCATCAATTTCTTCCTAAAAACCTTGCCCTTCAACTTTGAATTTACCCTAAGCTTGTTAATAACCATTTTGGCGATGATTGTCGGTTTTATGATCTCGTTACGATAGGTCCACAAATAAGATTGCTCCTCCATTGATTTGATCTGCCATGAGTCACTTCTCATATGCTTCATGTTTGGAAGCATATTTGAAGTATTAACAATTATGTCCCCTACAGATTTTCTTGCAATTTTATTGCCATTTTTCAGTAAATTAATAGTTTTTCTTCAAAAGCGACTAAATATGTGTGATTTCCTTGAACGTATCCAAATCACCACTTCCATCTTCATCACTAACATAGGCACTTCTGTCATAACTAGGGCTCTTGGAGTTACTGTCACTATTATCAGCTTGTCTTCTCTTCAATATTAAGGTTTTCATTGATCGTGCTAAAATTTTTGATAGTGGAAGGTTGCGTTAGGTAGTCGACAACCAGCGTAAAACTTGTCGAAAAAAAATCATAACATGAATCCTTTTGATTATTGTGTAAGTGCTAGGGTATCCTCTGGAAACGACGCGCTGTATAGCTTGAATACAGTGAAAATGTGCAAGTGTCGTTATACTAGCGCCCGGGTGTAGTTTTAAATAAGCAAGGTTCCCACATTACGGGCGAATGCGGGTAAAGAAGTTAGTCCATGAAACTAATGAAACTAATATTAGGATAGGATCTTTGAATATATGTATTCTCAATGGTAAATTAATGGAATTAGTTGATATTATGATTCATAGGAAAATTAATATCTTATGTATTCAAGAAACTAAGTGGGTTGGAGAAAAGGCTAAGAAAATTGATAATTTAGGTTTTAAACTTTGATATTCTGGTAAGAGTCGCACTAGAAATGGTGTAGGTGTAATTATAGATAAAAGTTTGAAAGATAATGTTGTAAAAATTAATAGAGTTGGAGATAGCATTATAGCCCTTACGATTATCATTGATACTAAGATTTTTAATATTATAAGTGCTTATGCTCCTCAAGTAGGTTTAGATACAGGGTCTAAAGATAAATTTTGGAATGACTTTGAAGACTTAATATAAATGATACCTCTTGAAGAAAGAATTTTTATTGGATGAGATCTAAATGGACATGTCGGTAGAGTGGTAGAAGCTTTCAGAAATATTCATGGTGGCTACGGTTTTGGAGTAACTAATGAAGAAGGTAGAACTATTTTAGATTTTGCTTTAGCGTATGATTTTGTTATTACTAATACTTTATTCAAGAAAAGAGAAGAACATCTTATTACTTATAAGAGTGGATCTAATAAAACACAAATTGATTATTTTCTTATGAGAAGAAGAGATCGTCGTGATTGTAACGATTGTAAGGTCATTCCAAGTGAAAATTTAAGTACCCAACATCGTTTATTAGTTTTAGATTTTAAGATTAAGAGTTGTAAAATAAAAAATACTAGGACTCACATCGTAGAATTAGATGGAGAAACTTAAAAGACAAATAAAATTATTTTTATGAGTAAAATTCAAGATTTCAAAATTTGAGATATTTATGAAGAAGCAAATGTTATATTGGATAAAGTAACAAACACTATTAAACAATTAGCAAAAGATGTGTTTGGAGAATTAAAAGAAAAAATTTTTATAAATAAAAATAGTTGGTGGTGGAATAATAATGTGCAAGAAAAGATAAAATATAAGAAGTTATGTTATAAAAATTGGTTTAAATGTAAAAGCTTAGAGAATTGGGAAAAATATCAAACGGCCCACA